CCTTTTATACTTAGAACTTGAACAAAACTTATAGTTTTAAAAACTTGGTTTTCTAGGATTTAGCGAGGACGCGGATTTCGATTCCCAACTTGACATCTGAACTTCACTCTTGGTGAGTGTCCCTGCTTGTTTTATGACTATTTGGTTACAGTGCTTTCTTGACTTGATATATGATAATTGCAAAGTGGTTTTTGATCCATCGAAGTGAGCAGTGTGTACTTTATCACACTAGCCGTTCGAGTGGTGATTTGTGTGAAATGTTTTCGTGAATATCTCAAGTGTTGTGACGTCGTTGGGTAAATCCCACGACTAGTTTGTGACGTCGTTGGGTAAATCTCTCGACTAGTTCGTGACGTCGTTGGGTGAATCCCTCGACTAGTTTATCCAAAGGGTATACTCGAGTATTACTGCTTTCTTATTTAATCCCTCGACTAGTTTATCCAAAGGGTATACTCGAGTATTACTGCTTTCTTATTTGGTGTTCGGGCCCGGAACAGGGGTATGATTGGTGTCGGAGTTAAGAAAAAGAAGAAGAGCTACATGGACCGTAAGTAGTGAGAGTTGACGGAGTGTCGACTACGGTAAATTTTGATCAAGCGTGGAGAATGGCTCCTGAGAGCCCCTGTATCCTACCTTGTGCTGTTATTCGCTTTCCTATTTGTTTACTTTAGTCGTAATCAATACTTGCTATTTGTTTATTTGATTGCATGTTTTGGGGCACCACTGAGCTTTAGCTCACCCCACGTTCATTTGTTTTCCTTGACTGGTCCTGGCTTTTGAGCAAGACTTGAAATCTAATTTCACTTTTATGCATGTAGTTTGAGTTAAACATTGTATCTTTTATTTTGGATTGCCTCTTTGTGACAGCCCCACTTCACCCTAAGGCGAACCAAAGGGTTCGGCGGACCGCCTGCCCAACTCTCGCCAGGACTAACGGTTCGGTATAGAGCGATCTATTGCGTTCCGGAACTTACGAACGCGCGTAAACAAGTCAAAATGGCAAAATAAAAAAAAAAATGAAACCGAAGTCGGTTATGAATAGTAACCGACCCGTCAGGACCCAACCAAATATCAAGCCAACATTCACATCGTGAAATTCAGCATTTACAAGCCAAAGTGGCATACAAAAGTATTCAAAAGTGGATACATTTCTGGTTTGCCAAATCAAAAGAGAAACGGTTCCAAGAGTACATTTAGGGTTTCAATAAATGAGCTATACAAAAGATATGTCCAACTAGCTCAATTCGGCAACCAATTATCAATTGCAGTCCAAAAGTATTTATTTTCCTGTAAGGAAAACAAAAGGAATAGGGTGAGCTTACGCCCAGTGAGATAATACCACTCAATCAGCAAAGTTCACATAAGCATAAAGTTTTTCATTTCAATTCATCAAAAGTAAGCAAAGGCACACATTAATGGTGGAGATAAAAAGGATACGGGCGGCTCTCAAGAGCCCTTTTCCTCGTTTGCATTCTTGATCGAACCTCATTGACTCTCCGTCAATGTTTAAAAGTAACCAACCGTAGACTCCACTTTACTTCCATTCCTTCCGCCCAACATACCCCTACCGGGCCCGAAATCCAAACACTTGCACTGTGGTATTACTCGAGTATACCGGAATCGAGGGTCTCAATACCCAAAGATCCCAAAACAGACTACCGTGGTTCGTTATCTAATCGACCAGGCCTTTGCCGGCCCGACTCGAGTAACTGGCCACAGGCGTTGAGCTCAGAGGTCACAGAAAAGTCGTTGGATACAAGCTTCCAAACGACGCCAAGTCAAGTACTTTTCATTTCATGTAACATTTCATGTGACATTCCAATAACATGAGAAATAAGTGAGAGTGATAAAGTACACCCTTACTTCAATTAATATCGATGGTACAATAACATTTAACTCATCAAGTTCAAGTATCAAAGCCATATAGTAACACACAAGTGAGTAGTACACTCACCAAGCTCGAAAGTGATATTTCATGCACTTCCGTCAAAGGAACGTCGTGAACCACCGTCACGCCCTAAAACATGCAAACAAGTACAATGAGACTCGATAACGAGTCATAATCCAATGCCAAATATTCCCAAAATAGGGTTCCATAAGCACACACAAGCAATAGAGGAAATCAGAAAAATCCGGAAATGGAACTAGCTTTAACCCTGAAAAAAACAGTTTTTGACGTCATTTTGCGGTAATGGCACCAAAGGCACTATGATTATCGGATGAAGGTCCAAGACCCACCGTTTCGAATCTTAAAGATAGGGCTACAATATTACATAAGGTCACTCACCCCAGTTTTGAGTGTAACCAGGTCAAAAATGCAATCTACTACACCAGAACCGCAAAAACAGATTCACAGAACGCATTCTAGTGAAAACATCATAAATCAGGCTATCCAAGTCCAAATCCAGAAATTCCAAAACCAGCTGAAAGCTAAGAAACAGGGATAAATTTAATCAGAAAGCCTCAACAACCAATTCGGAAGCATTCCTAACCAAAATAACCAATTACAGAAGCAATTCTCCAATTCGGGTAAAACCAGAATAGCAAGGGTAATTTCGACGTTTCTCAAGCTACGCTACTCCGATTGACCTGAAATTTTGTAGGAATCTCTAAAATATCATTCCCTACAACTTTATTGTTTTAAGCCAAGGCCAATTAGGCCTCTAACTATGAGCTACAAAACCGGGCAGAATGAAGAACAACGAAACCGTAAGTTTTCAATTTCTTTCCAAAACAGCAATTGCTTGCAATTAACCACTTTTTCCACCTCCTAGGTCCCTTACATACCATTTCCAATCATCATACATAGCCACACAATCATATTCATATTAAAACAGAAAAATCCTCAATAATTACAAAACTTTATCAATTCAACCAAAAATCACAATATAATCCATAAAGTTGCACCTTATACCACCACTAATCATAAATTAAGCATCATTAGAGGGAGGAGAGTGGTTCTTCATAACTCACCTTAGAAACAAGAGAGAGAGAGCAACAAGTCCTCTTAGCTTTCTAAACAACTCCACCAAACCCCACACAAACACTCACTTAAGGTTTTCTATGGAACAAAAGTAAGATTAAGTGGTTGTTTTGGTGATTTGGAGCAAGATGGAATGAAGAACTTGGAGAGTTTCTTTCTTTCTTCTTGTCAAGAGAGCCGGCTTCAAGGAGTGAATTTTGGAGTGATTTTTGGTCAAATTTGGAGTTATTTTAACCAAATGGTAAAAGGGTGAATAGTGTTCAAAAAGGTAAATCCAATCCTATGGTGACACTTGTCACCCCTTTAATGCATCTCTATCTCTTTATTCTCTTTCATATCAATCCACTTGGTATCTTCTAAATATCTCTTAGCACCCGATAAATTAAACCCAGTATCCGAGACTTAACCTAGTTGACCGAATTTTTCCGAACTTTTCGCACTAGTGGGTCCCACGTCCGGTATACGCTCTTAATTTCTCAAAACCTATTCGATACTAGAAAAATCATCTAAAAACTATTTTACTCATAAAAATTATCTAGAAAAATTTTCCTAATAAAGAAAATGCAGAAAACAGGCCATTAACCAGAATAAAACCTAAAAATGGAAAAATTACGGGTTCTCACACTCTTGAAGCTGGAAGAGTGTAAACCCTGGAATTGTTATTTGGCTTGTACTAATGTATTTGGATTGTATGTTCTTGTTGCCTGGTTTGTAATGCGTAAGATGTTTAAGAGTCGACGATTGGTTATCTTAAAAATGCTGTTATCTCTGAAGTTAATGCGATTTTAGTCATCAGCCTAGTAGGAAGGAAACGGTGTTGTAATAGCTTAGGTTATTCTTCGAAAGGATTTGGGCTAGATTACTTGCGTGAGTCCTGGCGAGAGCTAGGCAGACGGCCCGCCAACTCTCTGGTTCGCCTTAGGGGGAAGTGGGGTCGCCACAGGTGGTATCAGAGCCTAGGTTAGAAAAGTTATTTGAGAGATATATTAGATGTGTTAGAAACCCTAATCCTTTCTAGAAGTAAGAAATGAGACCTTTAGATATATCTTAAGCGATATTGGAACCAATTAGCTATTTAAGTTTTAACCTTTGGATTTTGGTTATTTTGCAGGTATGGAGAATGGAAACAGACATGCTAATGGTAGTGGAGCGTCTAATGGATATGTAGAGCCGCTTAGATCCATTTCATATAGGCCACGAGGCGGAGGAGACCGCGTGAGATATACCCCAGCTGATAGGCATCCTCGATGCCAGTGTAGGGCTATATACGCGTATCCTAACGATCTGGTGTTGTCCTTAGACGATAAGCGCCGCCATTTGTGGGACGCTAACCACACCCTGACCCAGGATGTAGAGGAGCTGAGTATCATGGTGGATACCCAGTTTGACCGTATAGCCGACTTAGAGATGAGGCTAGCGGCCGAGCATGCTAGGCTGGAGGCTGCTCGCGTGGAGATAAAGTGACAGAGGTCTAGGATGACTCGATTGGCCGAGGGGATACGTGATAGGAGTGCCGGTATCAGGGCTGATGCCGCGATAATGATGGACGAGACCACGAGTATCCTTCAGGGTACCGAGCAGGCGGGTGTTGAGGAGGATCCGGAGGAGGACCCAGAGGAGGACCCGGAGGAGGATCCAGAGGAGGATATTGCTCCTGGTAGCCCTACTGAGGGTTAGGTTAGATCTTGATAGTACTAGATATGTAGGGTTAGAAAGGGGAACATTAGTTAGGTCATCAAATTTTGTCTAGTGGAATGACCTACTTTCGAGGCACTATATCCCTAATTTTTTGTTTAAGGGATTATCTGTATATGTTTTTGTTAAACTCATGTGCCTTACTTTTGGAAATGTCCCAACCCGTTATTTGTATGACTTTTACCGTAACTATATGTTAAGCGTTTTATTCTTATTCTTCCCAATTTTTTTTTTGGTTGGTTTTATTTACAAAGAAAAAAATATAACAAATAATATTCTAACCTAATTGCCTTATTTTCCAATATTAGGCATAATCTAGGCAATGGATCGCCAAGTATTAGGAAGGGGACGTGGGAGACTTACTAGACAACACCCAGAAGCGGGTGGTGATAGGGAACCTGAGGTCAATCAAGACCCTGGTCAGGGAAACGTGGCCGGAAACCCAGTGGCCACCACAATCAATAGAATAACCGATGTTCTAGAGCGTATGACTGAGCAACCAGCCCCGGGGGCAGTGCATCATCAAGGAGGCCCAATCGATACTGAGGATCGGGCATTAGAGAGATTCCTGAAGTTTGGACCACCTAAGTTTTACAGAGGTCCAGAACCTGAGGTAGCCGAAGGCTGGTGGGAGAGAATCTCTGACATTTTCGCAGCCTTAAACTATGCGGAAGAGAGACAAGTGACTTTCGCCGCATTCCAGTTTGAGGGAGCTGCTCGTTCCTGGTGGAACCTAGTTAGAGTTAACTGGGATAGGAACCATATTCCAAGGACTTGGGCGAACTTCACAAGGGAGTTCAACGCCAAATTCCTTCCACCTCTCATCCAAGAAAAGAGAGAGGATGACTTCATCAAATGTAAGTAGGGGGCGACGAGTGTCGCCGAATATGAAGTCCAGTTTACAAAATTGTCCCGTTTTGCTCCTGAATTGATAGCCACGGAGCAAAGGCGCGTAAGGAGATTCATGCAGGGACTAAACGTAGAAATACAGGAAGGTTTAGCAGCCGTGAGGATAGACACTTTTGCTGACGCTGTCGAGAGAGCCCAACGAGTTGAAGTAGCCAGAGCCCAAGTGAAATCTTTTCAAGCTAAGAAAAGATTTACCTCTAGTAGTAGTCGGGAGCCGACTTACGAAAATGCTCCACCGGCCAAGGTGGGACGAGGAACAAGCGGAGTGAACAGTCCTGGAGCACCACGAGGCGCTCTAGCAAGAGGAACTGGGGCAAGAAATGCAGGGGGAAGAAATAATGGAGTTAGAGGGGGACCAAATGGAAGAGGTCAACCTAAGAATGCCTCACAAGGAGGTCGTGCGATAACTCCACAGGCAACTTGTGGGTATTACAAGAGACCTGGCCTTACTGTGGATGGTTGCTGGAGGAAACAAGGTAGGTGCCTAAAGTGTGGGAGCAGTGAGCACAAAATTTCCGGTTGCCCAAAAATACAAGATGATGGAACCCTGAATGCTGGACCAGCCAACTCTGGAGGGAATAGGCCGACAGTTCCTGCCAGGGTATACGCTATAGATGACCAACCTGTACCTGATTCCTCGAAAGTCGTGGAAGGTACTATTCCAATTTTTCATCGATTAGCTAGAGTGTTAATTGATCCTGGTGCAACTCATTCATTTGTGAATCCAACATTTATGTCCAGAATTGATGTGAAATCTGTTAGATTACCCTTTGATCTTGAAGTTAGGACACCAATGGGTAATAAGAATATAATCACTAGCTTAGCTTATAAGAATTGCGAATTCTGGATTGGAGAGCGTAAAATGCTAGTGGATTTGATAAGCCTGGATATAAAAGGTTATGATGTTATTATAGGAATGGATTTCCTAGCTCATCATCATGCTAAGCTGGACTGTAGAGCAAAAGTGCTAGAACTTTGGATTCCCGGGGAAGCAACTCTGAAGCTAGATGTGAAAGGTAGGTAAGCATCGTCTGCTATGATCTCGGGAATACGAGCGAGGAAAATGTTGCATAAAGGAGCGCAAGGATTCTTAGCATTCTTGATTAACGCTCCTAGTGACCAAGTGAAGTTAGAGGACGTACCAGTGGTACGAGAATTTCCAGACGTTTTCCCTGAAGAATTAAAGACATTACCGCCGGAGAGAGAAGTGGAGTTCAAGATTGACTTGGTGCCGGGAACGGCCCCGATTTCTAAGACTCCGTACCGAATGGCTCCTGCAGAGCTAAAAGAATTGAAAATTCAACTGCAGGACCTATTGGAGAAAGGTTTCGTTAGGGAGAGTGATTCACCATGGGGAGCACCCGTTCTATTTGTTAAGAAAAAGGACGAAAGCTTGAGGTTATGTATTGATTACCGAGGGTTAAATGAGGTTACAATTAAGAACAAATACCCTCTACCTTTGATCGATAGTTTATTTGATCAGCTACAAGGATCTGTTGTATTCTCCAAGCTGGACTTAAGGCAAGGGTATTACCAGTTGAAGATTAAGAAAGAAGATATACCCAAGACAACTTTCAATACAAGATATGGACATTTTGAATTTGCAGTCATGCCATTTGGATTAACTAACGCACCAGCTGCCTTCATGGACCTAATGCAGAGAGTCTTCAAGAAGTATCTAGATCAGTTCGTAGTGGTTTTTATCGATGATATCTTGATTTACTCCAAGACTCGAGAGGAACACGTTAAGCACTTGGAGATAGTTTTGCAGGTACTAAGAGAGCATAAGTTGTATGCCAAATTCAGTAAGTGTGAGTTTTGGCTGGATGAAATTTCTTTTCTAGGGCACAAAGTTTCCAAAGATGGAATTGCCGTGGATCCGGCAAAAGTTGAGGCAGTTATGATGTGGAAACAGCCAGAAACTCCAACGGAAATTAGAAGTTTCTTGGGATTAGCAGGTTATTATAGGCGGTTTATCAAGGATTTTTCGAAGATTGCTGGACCAATGACCGAGCTGACCAAGAAAGGGAACAAATTTATTTGGACTCCAAAGTGTGAGTCAAGTTTTCAGGAGTTAAAGAAGCGATTAACATCCGCTCCTGTTTTGGTATTACCTGACGGAAGAGAAGGTTATACCGTGTATTCTGATGCCTCTAGAGAAGGTCTGGGGTGTGTTTTGATGCAAATGGGTAAAGTAGTTGCCTATGCTTCTAGGAGAGCATCGGTCATATGCCAAGTTTAGTAAGTGCGAGTTTTGACTGGAGAAAATTTCTTTCTTAGGACACGTAATTTCCCAAGAGGGTATCTCGGTTGACCCAGCAAAAGTAGAGGCGGTGACCAATTGGAAACGGCCAGAAAACCCCACGGAGATTCGTAGTTTTCTAGGGTTGGCGGGGTATTACCGATGTTTCATTAAAGACTTTTCCAAACTAGTCGGTCCTTTAACCGACTTGACAAAGAAGCATGGTCGGTTTGTGTGGGATGCCAAGTGCGAAATGAGTTTTCGAGAGTTAAAGAAAAGATTAACCATGGCGCCAGTTCTGGCTTTGCCTAATGGAGTAGACGGGTTCACCGTTTACACCGACGCGTCGCGGGAAGGTCTGGGGTGTGTGCTGATGCAGAACCGAAATGTGACATCTTTTGCCTCTAGGAAGCTGAAACCCCACGAGCAAAACTACCCAACCCACGATCTTGAGTTAGCCGCGGTTGTTTTCGCTCTGAAAAAGTGGAGACACTATCTGTACGGGGTGACCTTCGAGGTTTACTCAGACCACAAGAGCCTTAGGTACCTCTTTTCACAAAAGGAATTGAATATGAGGCAGCGACGGTGGATGGAATTTCTGTAGGATTACGACTGCACTATCAACTACCATCCGGGGAAGGTGAACGTGGTAGCTGATGCCTTAAGTCGCAAGGCTCAAGTAGCAGGGTTAATGATCAAGGAGTGGGATTTGTTAGAATCCGTTTGCGAGTGGAAACCCTGCCTTGGGAGTCATAAGGTGTCTTTTGGTAATATTAAGGTAACATCCACCCTACTGGAGCGAATTAAAGAAGCGCAAAAGGAGGATTCGATGGTGCGAAAGTGGGGAGAGAAGGTGGAAAAGGGGAATCAACCGATTCCAACTTTAGTCCCGAGGGTATTCTAAAATACCGAAACCGAGTGGTGGTGTCTAAAGATGAAATGGTAAGAATGGAGATTTTAGAGGAAACTCATCGGTCCAGATACACAATCCATCCGGGTAGTAGCAAGATGTATCAAGACCTAAAAGAAACATATTGGTGGGATAACATGAAGAAGGAGATTGCTCTGTACGTGCAAAAATGTCTCGTTTGCCAACAGGTTAAGGCGGAGCATCAAAAACCATCGGGCTTGTTACAATCCCTTGAGATACCCGAGTGGAAGTGGAAAAATATCACAATGGATTTCGTTCCAGGTTTGCCGCGAACGCAACGAGGACACGATACCGTTTGGATGATTGTTGATTGCTTAACCAAATCGGCTCATTTCTTGCCAGTGAACAGGAAGTATTCCATGAACAAATTGGCTCAGGTGTACATGGACGAGATCGTAAGGCTACATGGTGTTCCTGTGAGCATCGTTTCAGACAGAGATCCCCGCTTCGTATCTAGGTTTTGGCAGAAATTCCAAGAGACTCTGGGGACCAAACTCAACTTAAACACCACCTATCACCCTCAGACGGATGGACAATCGGAGCGAACAATTCAAACTCTCGAGGATATGTTAAGGACCTGCATTTTGGATTTTAGGGGTAACTGGGGTCAACATATGACCTTAGTAGAGTTTGCCTGCAATAACAGCTACCATTCGTCAATTCAAATGGCTCCATACGAAGCACTTTATGGGAGGATATGTCGGTCACCGATCTACTGGGATGAATTCGGCGAGAGGAAAGCCCTAGATCCAACGACTATTCCATTGATGGAGGAGGCACGAGAAAAAGTCAAGTTGATACGACAAAGGCTCCAAACAGCTCAAAGCCGGCAAAAGAGCTACGCGGACAATCGAAGAAAAGACTTGGAGTTTGAAGTCGGGGACCGTGTGTTCCTTAAGGTCACACCGTTACGAAGCGTCAGGGCGGGTAGAGGAAAGAAACTCCAACCGAGATTCGTCGGACCCTTCAAGATCCTTCAGAGAGTGGGTAAAGTAGCGTTGGGGCTAGAACTGCCGTCAGTCTTTCCAGAATTCATGACGTCTTCCACGTCTCGATGCTTAAAAAGTATTATCCCGACCCATCTCACATCTTACAACCAGAGAAAATCGAAATAGATGAATCCCTTACCTACGAAGAGAAACCTGTGCAGTTGCTTGACCGAAAAATTAAGGAGTTGAGAAACAAACAGATTCCTTTGGTAAAGATATTGTGGAGAAATCATGGGGTAGATGAGGCTACCTGGGAGGTGGAAGAAGAAATGCAAAGGAAATACCCTGACCTATTCGTGAATCAATGTGAGAAATTTCGAGGGCGAAATTCTTTTAAGGGGGAGAGAGTGTGAGAACCCGTAAATTTTCTTATTTTCTAGGTTTTATTTTATTGAATTGCATGCTTTTCATATTTTCTATATTAGGAAAATTTTCTATATAATTTTATGAGTAAATATGGTTTTTCAATCATTTTTCTAGTATAAGTTAGTTCATGAGAAATTAGAAACGTATACCGGGCGTGGGACCCGCTAGTGCGGAAAGTTCGATAAAATTCGGCCAATTAGGTTAAGTTTTGTATACCAGAATTATTTTACCAGGTGTTATGAGGTAATTAGAGGTTACCTAGATAGATTGGTGTGGGAGAGACAAAAGGATAGCTTTGCATTAAATAAGGGTGACAAGTGTCACCTTGTGATTTAATCTTGACTTTGACTACTATTCATTAACTTTACCAATTAATCAAAATTGACCCAAAAACCATCTTCATTTCAAGCTTCTTGTGGCCGACTCTCTCAAGGGGAAAGAAAAGAAAAGCCTTCAACTTTCTTCATCCCAAGCTTGCTCAATCTTCAAATCTAACCGATTAAACTTGAAATTCCTCCATAAAAACCCTTAGTTTAGTGGTTATGAGGTTGTTGGTGAAGTGGTCTGGAAGAAAGTGGTGCTTAGTTGGCTCCTTTCTTGAGTTGCAAGGTGAGTAGCTAAGGAGTTCATTCTTTGGTCTTGCTAATGTTAAATTAGTAGCTTGTGTTAGTCAAAGAGGTGATTTTGTGGACAATATCATGACTATTGGTGGAGAATGATGAATTTTTATAATTACTCATGATTTTTCTGTTTTTATATGTTTAATATTGTGTGGCCATGGATGATGGCTTGGAATAGTCTAGAATGAAGCTATAGTGTGTAAATTGTAGCTAATTGCGGAAAATTTCCACTTTGTGCGGAAAATTCCAGATTAGGGTTTCAATTAACCCTGTTCTGTCCGGTACTGTTTGGATAGGAATAAGGCCGAATTAGCCTTAGGTTAAAACATGAAAGTTGTAGAAAATAATGTTTTATAGTTGCCTTAAAAGTTTAGCCCAATTCGAGCTCGGTAGCCTGTGAAAAGATGGAAATACCCAGACTGCCCTAGGTAGGAGTTCGGCGGTCAGGGTTGGCAGTTCACCCAAACTGACCGCGACCGTTCACCCTGATGCGTACTGAGTTTGATTTTGGCCAAAACACAAAAGTTGAATTGCTGTGTCTTAACTTTCTAACGGCCCTAGAAAGGCCCCAATTAGACTTCAGTAGCTTGAGTTATGGTCATTTAACCAGAATGCGGTTAGCTAACCTGTTTGTGCGATTCTGGTTTGGTACATTGAAATTTTGACCTAGCTACACCACGAACTGGACTGAGTGGTCTTCATCAAAGTTGTAGCCCTTTATCTTAGCTTCGAAACAGTGTAAATTACACCTCAATCTGACAAGTGTAGCTTCAGTTGTGTTAGTTCCGCTAAGTAACGTCAAATCTGCCTTTTGTTTTCCAACCTAAACTTCATTTCCGCACATGTCCTAGCTTGATTTTACACTTATACGTTCTATTTGGTCTTACTCTAGTAGTATGTAGATTCGGTTTATGACTCGTACTCGAATCTCATTGTGTTTTATTGTATGTTTTAGGACGTGCCGGTGACGCGGATCGCTCGTTGGACAGAAATTTATGATTTCACTCTGTGTTTGCTTGGTGAGTGTACTACTCACGTGATTGTTGCTACATGGCTTGGTTATACTTGAAATTTATGACTTGAATGCTTATGTATATGGATGAAATTGTTTGAGACGAGGGTGTACTTTATCACTCTCGCGCTCTATGGCTTATGTGACTGTTTACTGCATTAATTGAATTCTACTTGAACATACTTGAACTGGGGTCGTTTAGACGAGTCTCCAACGACCATTACTGTTATCACTGAGCTCAACCCCATTGGTGGTCAACTGAATCGAGCCGGCAAGGGCTTGATCGAGAAAATTGACAAGCCATGGGGACTATTTGTGAGCATCCGAAAATTTTCTTATTTTCGTCATATATTACTGGTTTATTTAAATAGTTATTCACTCATTTTCTCTGAATTATTTAATTCGACTACTTAAAATCCATTTATATGGAAAAACGCCTCTCTTATATTTTTAAAGCGTTTTGTTAGAAAAATTATTTTTTTAAAAACTCGTTTAGTTCGGAACACGAATACACATTTTTTGAGGCTACATTTGAATTGAGAGTGTATTAATTTTGGAGAAGTAAGAATGATCAATAGTAGATTAAGAAAAGTTAATTTGAGAATTGAGGAATTAACACTCGACTCATGTGAGGACTCGCAAAATTTACTTATTTAAATTTCCTATTTCTAACTTATTTAATTATTTACTTGGCCATTTACTCCGAATATTATTTTCTAAACTCTTTAGACCTAATTACATGGGTCTATAACTCAATTATATTTTTAAAGTGACTCGTTTCAAAATTTAATTTTTGGAAACTCGTTTAGTGAAAATAGTAAAAAAGTGTTTGGAAATTTTAACCGATTGAGAGTACAATAAGTTTGGAAAATTAGAGACTTACACAATGATGCTAAAATAGATAATTTTATGTTTAAGTACTCAAGTGATAGTTATTAGTACTATCGTTATAAGAAATTCTTGAAAATTCGACTTTATCGCACACAAATCGGAAGTACGCGTTTTTACGCGCGCGATTAATTGAAGGACTTAAGACCATGATTTTTAGACCATTAAGAGTGAATAATAATAGTATGAATACA